AATTTGGACGTATTGTCCATGGCGAGTACGGACATACTAGGTTTGTGGCGGTCCAAAAATTCACGTGGAACCGCAACGGACGACGCTGTCCGTGGTAGGTCCATGCAATAAACCGCCATGGACATAGCAAGTCTGTGACGGAGGCGAAACACTGTAGCATTTCGCCTATAGGCGTTTTTTAGGTTTTTTCATAAATACACACACACATATATTATCAATCGAATAAAATTTTGAAGAGGGAAAGTCCAAAAAATATTTTTTAAAGAATAATTGACAACCAATATTTGAATATAACTAGTACAATGTGAGTCACATTTCGCGCATGAATGTTAATATCAAGCCTTAAATCACCCAAAATCGCCTTTTGTAACATTTTTTGATATTTCATAATGAATCAAATAAAAAAGAAGAAATGACATTGAGATATTATTTACATTTAAATAAGGGAAAAGTTTATATAGAGTTGAGGCTTTAAACAATCAAATTTGAGCTTACCTCAAAAATTTCACTAAAAGAGGTTGTTTTAATGCCCAAATAGGTTCAAATTGATCATCTCAACATCGAGATGCATGGACATGAGAGAAAAATGGATTTCAAGTTTTGGAAATAGTCTATTTTGTAACGTATTTTTGGACAGTCAATTTTCAAGATTTTCAAATTTCAATAGATCAGTCGATCTTCACTATTTTTGAAGCTTTAAACTTTATAAATAAATGTAAAAATATATTTTAAGGCTATCACAAAGATTTCCAATATTGAAACTACATTTCTCGACACTATTTGAAGGTAGGTTCTAATTTGATTGTTTAGAGACTAGGCTCTATACAAACCGCACCCTTTAAATAATGAAATATGATCAAAAAAGGAAATGTGGTTAAGATCGAAAGGAATCGGCAATTCATGTTACGCCTTCCTTGCCATAAAAAAATTAGGGAGGAATTGGGGGTTGAGAGGTTTAGAATACCCGCTACACCCCTGCTCCCCACACTCCAAATAGAAAATATTTTTGTCCTCCTCAATATGAGGGGAAAAGACCATATTGACCATGGAACAAGGACATTTTCCACCCCCGGACCATGCACAACCACTCGAGGCTGGTGCATCGCTTGAGAAACTAAGTGTTCGATGTGAGTGGCCTTTCCAAGGCCTCAATACCCTTTGTATTCATACTTATTGCATGGATTTTGTCTCCATTGGAAGGATGGGACCCAGAAGGAGACCAAGTTTTAGGTCTAGGGCTAAAGAGTAATAACTTTGAGCCATGAAATCCTATGCCCATAGGGATCAGCATATGGCTCTTGGGTGATCAAAGAGCCTTCTGGGGTATCTATTTGTCAAGGTCAAAGATTTCCTTGTGGAAAGTGAGTTGAGCTTCCGCGTGGGAAGGCTAGCGTGTGAGGACAAGGGCCAAAACCTCAACAACTGCCTTCCCACGACATGCGCATTTGAGAGCCACATTTTGAGGAAATCTCTTCTGGGGGGGAGTCCTGGGAAAGCCATGAACATGAGCTTAAGAGGGGAAACCCCGCATCCATGTTTGGCTCTTTGCTTGTCCTAGGGGGTGCACCTAATATTCACTTCAAAATCTGGAATTTACTAACAATTGATTGGCTTTGATGAACTAATCATAAGCCCCTGCTTAAGACTTTGGGTCATGGGTTCTGTTGGGTCGATTTGAGAACGTGGTCATGAGTATTGGAATAAGACAAGTGGAGTGACCCTACAATTATGAATCCAAACCCTATGATATCTAATTTCTCTTTAATATGTTTCTAAGAGGCCAAATCACTTTAATTTGGTAAGATAAATAGAAAAAACGGTTTTTGGTATTTTTTGGAATTTTAGATAACTTTTCAGTGCCAAAATGACTTAGAAACTTCAAGCAAAATAATTCCAATGAGAACACCACAGTGGGCCGAGGCACACATGAGGCCCAAGTGGCCAATGGGCCTCGCATGGGCCAAAATGGGGTCCACATGTGGGCCCCCACTGCTGCTGACATCACTTTGACTTCACCAGAATGGGCAGCCCTCCCACTTAAAGGCTAGCTTGGTTTTAGAGATAACCATGATATGTTTAAAGGGAGCTAAGTCACATTTATTCACACACGTTTTTCTAGTGGGGGAAAGGATTGGATGAACCAAGGACCTTGGACTGATCTATAGTTGAGTACATGGAGGATGCTTGGCACAAGATCCATACTGCATGGGGGGACACTTGTCACATTATTATTCACCACATGTGAAGCCCATGTGATATTAGTTAACTTAAGAGAGAGAGATTATCTCATCCTCACTCTCCTATCAAATGAAAGGAAAAAGAAATCTTAAATCTAAGGGGTATACCCCTCCTATAAGTTTCTCTCTCCTAGATTATCTAAATATTACATGGATATAATTACATTTGGATTAATGTACATAGACCTTAGAAGACCAAAATCATTAAAGAGAAATTATGGTTTTGATTAGCTAAGGGGTTAATGGAATCAAATATCAACCCATGATATATGACAGCTGGTTAAGGGATGAATGGTTTGGATGGAAGCCTTTCTCACCCTATAGGTCTCCTAGATTAAAGGTCCATATTAGTGATTTAAAAAATGGATCCGTGACCCAGATTGGGCACCCCAAAAACTGGTTTGAATCGGCGAATCAGCAATCCAGATAGCCATTTCACTGTGCGAAAGAAATAGTGAACTGGCAAAAAAACACTTGAAAAAATAGTTAACCAGCCAAAAACCGGTCCGGATTGTTGAATCGGCGGTCCGGATTGCCGTTTTACTGTAGTGAATTGTCGTTTTATTGTGCAGAACCGGTAGTACCCTTTTAGACTCGTCCATTATATATTTCTTATATATACGTAGAACCAGAATGAGGTGACTGATTCCAAGATCAGACCGAAAGATTTCATGTCGACCCTGGAATTTTTAAATCACTGGTCCATATTATACCTCCTTAATACGAACCTTCTACACACTCATAGAACCCTAATCTCACACTATAGAAGGGGTCCTCACCTCCCATAATACACATTCTAATGCCTAAATTGGGTGAGAGAGAGACTCATAGCTTTCTAGGCCCCATCTAGAGAGAGAGAGAGATCCTTTCACAGTCAGTTGCAGGGCATTGTACAGCCCATAAGCCTAGGCCCTCTTGTCTGCACTTCACCTTACATACGCCACACATGCTCCCTACTCCATACCACCATTGAAGGACCTCCATGGCATTTGAAAGTTGCCTAAAACCTCTCATCTCATGCAAGTTACAACAAGGTAAACGCTCTCTCTCTAGGCCATTTTATTCATTTCCTTAAGCCCTCTCTGTCTATAGTCTCCCACACGGTATTGTTTTTGGCTACGTGGTATAGTCCATAAGCCCAGGCCCTCTTCTTAGCACTTACCCTCCATACTCTGACATGCTCCCTACTCCATACCAACATTGAAGGACCTCCGTGGAAATTACAAAGTTGCCTGAAACCTCTCATCTCATGCAAGTTACAGAAAGGTGAAAGCTCTCTCTCAAGACTATTTCATTCATTCCTTAAGACCTCACTCTGACCCTCTATAGTCATATAGTCTTGCAAATAGTATTGTCTTTTCGGCTACCAATTTGCTCGAAATATCCCACAACGCATGTGTGCATCCTAGGTCACATAGTTCATCTTAATTACATTCCCCTCCAGCACCTAAGTGAGATTAGGGAGGTTTTGGGCTTCCCAGTTGGAGGAAGGCTCAGGGGCTCTTGCACCCACACTATTGAGGAGGAGATCCAGTGTTGGGTGTACAATGCCAATAAAGGTAATCCCCGCACACTAAGGTAAATGGCTCCCCCTCCATGGTCCATGACCTCCATTTTTATGCTGTTGAATAAGTTGTAATCTATGATTGCTTTGGTTTGAATTGTATTGAAGTTTGGAAGTGTTTGATTAGATTGTCTCATGGGTGTATCTGGCTGAATTGTTTTGTGTAAATTGAGTTGTATTCAAGCAATTTTACTTTGCCCAATTGAATGCAAATTATGTTGGGTCTATTTGGAAGTGTTTTGATCATCAGTTTCAGTTGCATATCAGGGAGCTAAGTGCGTTGTATCAGTCTATTTTTGTTGTACTTTTGATTTAATGTGTATGTAAATGGGTCTACTTGAGCCCTTGGGTAAAATTTTAAAGTTGTATACACCAAGGGATCTATCTCTACACTTACACCAACATCCATCTGAGCACTGCCTCAGGTGCTTAGGTGTCAGGATAGGTTAGGCTGCTTTGTCCTTGGCGGGACACCTATGCAGCAGCCCAGCCTCGAGGCGCAACCTAACTAGGCGCCCAACGCAGGCACTTCTAAGATAGTGCATAGAAATATACTGCTATTTTTTAAATTAATATCTTGAAACTTTATTAGCAGAAATGCCCTTGTCCTTTATTGAAAATTTCTATTATGACCTGATAAAGGTAACAAAAGTACACTTTTGTCTTTAGTGATAATTTCACATATGCTTTACACAATGAACAAGCTACCTATGAAAACCAACTAAGCAAAAAGCAACCATATATTTCATAAATCCATCTTGTACAATCCATTATGATCTTAAACTTTGTATCTTGAAGGGTTTGTTAAAGTTAGATAATCCTCTTCGTATCAGCTGACAAGCTTATCATACTATGTTTCGATGAAGAAATTTTGTCTATCATATTCTGATTTAGACTATTCATAAGAAGAAATAAATTTTTGAATCTTATATCAAAAGAAGCTTTGCTAATAATGGCCAAAATGTTGCATTACAGAATCATATATCAAACTACACAAGATATATTTTTAGAAAAGTAAGTTTAGAGTATATAAAACATCACAAAATTTAGTAAAGAGAGAAAAAATAAAACTGCTAAGATTATTTAAGATGGGGTTCAATTATTATTTTTGTATTTCTTATTTTCGATAAATCTGAATACGATTGTAAATTTCATATCAAATGAACCAGCGAACAAAGCAAGTCCAGATTATTGCATTTGGAAATCTTAATCTACCTTCTCAAATATTATTTATTCACTGTTTTTATTTTTTAACTCATTAGTATTTGTAAAATGTTTTTCAAGTATATTTTTGCCATTTTAAATACATTATTAAATGTATTGTTTTACTATAAAGCACTCGTAGGGTTGTATCCAAGGTTAAGGTATGGTCATGCACAGCAAGCCAAATCTGACAAGTACATAGCAATGATTTGACTCACTTTGAATACGATGTTGTAATTCAGTAACCATTTAAACTCTCCAATAAAAAAGTAAATTTGTATATCAGGAATGGATCTATGCACAAAGGAACAACAATCATTTAGAAAAACTATTACGATGAACCGTGGGAAATTTCCTAGTATGCTCAAAGACAAACATCAAGTGCATATAAACACAAAGTTCAAATCTTTCTAATCAAAAAGTCAGAAATCAGATGCAAACTTTATCATAGTCCAAAAAAACCCGAATGGCTACTACTGACGAACCTCAGCTTGAGGAAGCATACTAAGTCCACGATCATTTCTTTCATCTAGAATCCCACCACCCATCATATTTCTAGCTTCCTCTCTTATCAATACAAGCCTTGCGAGAAGCTTCCGATCTGGTACTGTAGGCCTAGCTTCCATTGTCTACAAAGCCTCACAGCACAGAAGATTTCAGGAATTAAGAAGCATATCGATATAGTCTAAGGGTTCCATAGATATTTTTGGCTCATCACCAAACCTTATGGAAAACAGTGATTAAAGTAGAAGAGTAAATACCAAGTACAGCGTTCCATAATAATTAAAAACAATAAATTGTTGTGCTCCATGGCAAATAAAATCACTTTGACTTCACAAACTTGGGCTGTTTGATGTTGTTGTTGGAAAGACTAGCTAATTGAACATGTGAAAATAGATCTAGCAATAACATAAGAAACTTCAAGCATATGTACTATTAAAGGAAAAAGGAACATGTAGTTATCTGATACTAGTAAATGACATAGGAAACTATTTGACTCTTGCTTGCAACTTTTAAGTGACGAAATAAGGCATTAAATAATTGTCGTGCCATAATTCTCTCTCAGACATAGGGTACACAACATTCCGTTTACCATTGACAAGGGCATTCCCCTTGGTTAAGGGGCATGATGCACAAGGACATTTTAGTTGTTTACAGTTTAGCAATTTTAGGTGATACTAATTTTGATTCAAGTCATCATAAGGGTTAGATTTGACTTATTGACGTTGTTCTTAAGCTCTAAAAGAACTGGAGGCTTTGTAATAATAGACAAATCATCCACAGGATCATCAGAATCAACAGTCCAGGTTAAGCTTCAGCTTAAGCAACCAACAACAGCCTGAAACATTCCCGCCATATTAAAAACAATAAAGTTATTTCTGTTTATTTCTCCTTTGAATGATTAATTATTAATTCTTCTCAAGGAGGGAAGAAGGGAGGATAAGAAAGCTGGTTTTTATGAGGGACAAATTTTGAACTCTCCATGACTCCCGTAGATCAAATTCTGTAGGACAAAAGTATATGCAATTGCACTGCAATGCCCTATACTCTATATTCTTCATTATTGAGCACTAATAACCAGAAATTGCTTTGTTAATGAGGAAGGCATAGGATGGAAAAGCATATAGGAAACAAGTAATGGTGTTACACCCCAGAGCTCTAATAGATAACAAAATGATCAATTGTATGCCTTGGCAAGTAGAGTGTTAAGTAACATCTATACCCTAAGGACAGCTATATTGTTTCCATGTAATGCATAGAAATCAAATGGTTCAAAAAGGAAAAAAGCAATGGCTGCAGAAGTCTAAAACTAGTGAATATGTCATCCATCATTTTCAATCGTATGTTGTACCAAGCTGAGAGTTGAATGAAGTGACATCTGAACCCTAAGGACAGGTTTATTATTCCCATGAAATGCATAGATATCGGATGGTTCAAAGCAAGCAAGACTTGCAGATGTCTAGGAGACAGGGAAATTCTTTTTGTACCAAGCCAGATTAGGAAAACACACATTTTCAAGCTCCCAGCATGAACTCATAAAAAAAACTTATCCTTACAAGAAATTGTTGTTATTTACCTCCAGTAAATCATCAGCCTGGTTAGCAATATCATTTAGATTGGCCTTTGGAAGTTGAACCTTTGCACCATTCTCACCTTTAAATACACCACCACCACCAGCAACCCGACGAAGCAACTCATATCTGCTATCTTTTTTAGGAGTCCGGCAAAGAAGACCAATTACTTGAACCTGACACCATGACAGTAGAGCGCTAATCACCACATGACCAAGACAAATGATTGGTAACAATCATAAGGATCAGTATTCTGCAGTTAAAGGGAAACACCAAAGGAACAGAACACTCACATGAGGCGGGCATTTCTTAGCCAGATGGGACAAAACTGTTTGTTTGATCACATCCAAGATTGACCTGCGCTGGACAACAGAAAGAAGAAGATGTTTCTAATCCTGAGGACCTTAAGTTTAAGTACTAATCAAAAGAAAACTTTGTAACTTTGCTAGTATAAGCTAGTACGAATGGATCCAGTACAAATACATATCACAAGGATAATATCCAATGGAATATAACAAATACATTTAATAAACAACATGCCATTTATAACATTTTAGAGATTACAACAATGATTCCCTTATTGTTTCTAGCCAAAAAGCATGATTATTCAAGAACACTCAGAAAATGTTACACGACAATGAATGGAAACTAAACTGTAGCTTATTACAAACTATAAATGACCTTCATATTTGATAAAGGAATGAGGGATTGAAGGTCCCTCTTTAGTAATGGGGAGTTGAAATTGAAAATGGCCATTCCTGGTGAAGGAGGGAATGGAGTTGAAACTGTTGGATCACTTGCTATAAGTACTGAAAAGGAAAGGAAAATGTTTGGAAGCGCTGACTTAACTGAGCGGTAATGCATCTCCAATCAAAATACATACATATATAGGAACGAAGTTGCTCAATGGCCCGGTCTGGTGTAGCATCAGGTTTCCTCTTCCAAGAATATAGCTGGAAATAATGAAAGGAAATGTCCAGAACACAGTTCCATTCAAATAGGGGCCTTCAGCGGCCACAAAAGGGATAAAGCATGGTTTTAAAATGCGGCCGCATAATGCATTATCTGCTGGGAAGCGCATCGCATGAGGCCACATATGCGCTTTGGAGGGAAGCGCAGCATCTGGCATAGCCCGCATATGCGGCCAGCGAGTGATGTGGAAAAAACCCACTCAGGAATGGCCATTTTCAAGGAAATAGGGTATTAAACCACACCCCCCCAACCCCACCCCCACCCCCTCCCCCCCAAACTACCAAAAACAGCCACATCCATAGCCTTTACTTCATCAAATCGATAAAAAAAAAAACGTGGCAGAAATTTACTTTTTTGAAATTCTTAGATTTTCGTATTGGTTGACCTTTGGTTGTTGATGTGTTTCTTTTGGGCGTTGATTTGAGAGAGTTTTAGTGAAGTTTTGACAACAAATTGATGATTTCAAGGGCCAAGAAGAAATCGATATATGTTTACTTTGGGTGTGATACTTATGAACTCTTTAATCTTCATGGACTTTTATTTTGTATTTTGTAACTTTAAACTTTGTAGTTGTAAATTTGTGATTATGGTTGTTGAATGATTTATGAAGCTAGTTTCAAGTTTCTACTTTCTACTTTGTAATGTCTTCTATGATCTATCAGGGGATAGTGGATACAGAATCCCCGACAGCTGATACTTTTGGAGTCAATGAATAAATTGAATACCTACTATCCCATAAATCACCTCCATATTTTTTCTATGCATTAACCTATTTTTTAAAAAAAATTATAAATTTCTTATTTATTGACCGTATCGGGGTGATGCACCCGCATTTGGACCGCATCGAGCCTCCTCGTCGCATCGGCGCCCCCAATGCATTGGGCCGCATCTCGCCTTTTAAAACAAAGTAACAGAATAAAAAAGAAGACGAGATTCTGCTCGCTTGAAGGCTTAGATGGACATGACCTAGTCCGTTGATCATCAGTGGCCAATCCCAACCAGCAATGAAAGCAAATTTTAAGTTCCTCAATTAAACAAGTTTTAAAACATTGCCTTTTTTTTTTGTGTGTGTATGCCACGTTAGAGTTGTGGGTGTTTGGGGGTATTCGTATATCAATTCTGATAGATATAGAGTACGGAACGGGACCACACTATTGCAACCCACTCTCGAGAATGAACTTAAAACATAAGAGCAGGCATTTGGCCCTCATTTTACTCGAAAAACCGTTAAAAGGTAGGGTAGATGATGGTTGTGATAAAGGACAGCCCGTCAACAGCAAACGTGTTATCCAATCCGATAGGAAACCGATAACATATGCGCCGATAAGTTGCCGGTCAGAAGGTTGTAGGAAGTCCCCCAAACGGTCACAAACTATGGCCAATTTGGGAGATCGTCAGAATTGGTGTTAAGAGGACCCCACGAATAAAAACTGTGGGTTTTGGGATTAGTTGCAACACAACACACATGATTGAAGGGTTGTGGGTCAAACTCTACCAAGATGGATGCACATGGGCACCAAACTAAGCAAAACTTTAATGAAGTAAACTCCAAGATATCTTCCAAAAATCAAGCAATTCCGAAATTGAGAGGCCAAGATATGCAAGTGGCAATCTCAGAAGCATGGATGATAACATGGGTAGCCAAGAGAAAGTGGGTCAATTTACAAAGAGAACCCAAAAATCAATACCAAGTGGAGCCGAAAGTTTTAGGGATGATAGCCATATCTTCAAAAAACTTAATTTTAATACTTCATGTCATTCCCAATATCATTTGCTACCATTTTCGAAAGGAACTTCATGGTAGCACACTGCTATATCCTACAACGGGTATTATTCACCATGGACAATAAACAGAAAAAACAGCTAGAGAAATCAAGTCTGTTCTAGCCATTTCTCCCAATTCTTGCATTGAGATTGGCTGAATTTTGGATATGTTGTTCCTTGTTAAGTGAGCTTTCCAAATATAAGTGTGGTGTTCCTAGCCCAAATCATGGGTAGATTGAAGAGATAAGATGAGGGGTTGAAGAAAATTCACGTGTTGCAGGCTTGGTGACCTCCGCCCAGTCCATAGATGATTTCTCCCAATCAAGAGTACTCCAAAACTGGAACTTTATGAGGAGATCCTTCACTCACTCCCCTATCCATCAAGATAAGCTTTGCCATGGCCCCCCACAAAAATTGAAGGTGATTTTGAAGCCTATTCAATGCTAAACTTTTGATGTTGCTGGAAATTTGACTCACACCAACAAAAACACTCATAACTCCCTCAATACTTACGAGTTTTTGATGAAATTTGAGGCAAATCGCTCCTAGGTCGATTCTTTACGACTCTACAAAGCCAAAACGGCCACAGAGGTGAAAAAATTGGCTGAATTAATAGAGCGATGGGAGGTATATGAACCCCCAATGCTTCCAAGGGTAATAATTTGAAATTTCCTAGAAAAACCCCACCAAACCTACTTTTTAAAAAAGTGACGGGATACAAAGTTAATAATCCACCCATGAATCATCTAGCTTTTTAGTTTTCCACCTACCTTTCATTTGAATTCTATAATAAACCTCAACCCTAGGTCGTTTGAAGAGTTGAATGTTGGAAACTTGAGAGCGAGACTTAGATAGAGTAAGCTAGAGAGACAAACTCCCGTAGAGAGAGAAAACCTAACTTTGTTCCTCAGTTTCCCCATTATACAGAGAGAAAGTCCAACCCCAACCAAAACCTAACCAAACACTACCAAACCAAACCCTAACCTTACAAACTAGAGCCTAACCAAGCAAGCCATAACTCATCTTGACCCAAACCCTATTAAAGAGAGCATAAACCGTCAGGACCATAGTTGTTGGAAATGCCTAGGAACCCGAATCGTTTTATGAACCGGAATCACGGAATTGCCGCCGGCTAGAAGATTCCTGTCTTAGGAATCATTGTCTGTACAATAGGAATCGCAGGGAACGACATTCCTAGTTTTAACAATCGCGTTTCGATCGAAATAGATCCAAGTTTCATCCACATGAAATCGAGATTCCGTCCTTCTTGGAATCGAGATTCCCATCCCCTTGGAATCGAGATTTCCATTCCCTTGGAATCGAAACTCTAGGAGTCAAGATTCATTACTATGCGGAATCGAGTTTCTGACATATGTGGAACAGACATGTTGTTGTTTCGAATCTTGATTCTAACATATTTGGAATCAAGTTTCTGAAGTATGATCAAAGATCCAGGCCAGTTTGAGATCAAGATTTACAATAATATGGACTATGGAATGCGTTTGATGACACCTACCGGGAATCGAGATTTTATTTTTATGGAGAAGGAAGCCCCAAGCACATATTGAACCTTATCAACTTCAGAACCTATATTGTATGTCTCTTATTAGAAGGTTCCCCAAATTTTAAAGGCATTGTGTTGACTATTGAACTTACGGTCATTATATACAAAAGCTAAGTATTACTAAATTGTGATTTTGACTTCATTATTATAAAGACAAAATAGGATTATGTCTACGCCATGGTTTTATTTTTAATTGTATGTGTTGCATAACCAGTTATATTTTAAATTTAAAGTAAAAGCCATCTAGGGTCACACAACTAAAATAATGAAAACCAGCAACCACTAGAAGCATTTGAAGGAAGATTTCTACTCCATTTTCCTTTAGGAAGTGCACAACCACCATAGACATTGGACATTATGTACTTCGAATTGTTTTTTTTTTTTTGGATACTTTGAATTTATTTATTTTTTAATCAAGATTTAATCCTTGTTGGAATCCATATTTGATATATTTGGGAACGTCCACCCACAATTAATGGGTTCAAGTTTCTAAAGATGTGTTGGATCGAGATTCCAAAATTAAGGAATCGAGTTTCCTTGGTTCCGATAAATGGTTTCTAAAGATGTGTTCAATCGGTTCCGAAATTAAGGAATTGAGTTTCCTTGTTCCAAAAAATGGTTTCTAAAAATGTGATGAATCGAGATTCTGAAATTAAGGAATCGAGTTTCCATGGTTCCGAAAAACAGTTTCCGTGGAGATTCCTTAAAGCAAACGCAGAATCAGGTTTCGGAACCGGAATCGCGAGGTCAGTGGAGAGATTCCGGTAGCTATGTGTTAAACCAACTCAGAGATTATCGTCTTGATCAAGGGATTGAGTTCCAAATAACATGTCCATATGCACCTCAACATAAGGTATTGCAAAGTGGAAAAATAGACACATTTTGGAAGTCACTCAAGCTCTTTTACTGGGAATGAAGGTCTCCAAAGTTTTCTAGTCTGAAGCGGTACTCAGTTGTTTTTTTGAGAAATTGCATGCCCACTCATGTTCTTGAGGGAAAGTCGCCTGCTAAAATTGTTCGTCCTAGCTTGCCCATGTTTCCTATACATCCCATGGTATTGGT